TGACTAACCTTATGAATTTAGGAAACTAACTTTCCTCAAATTCATCATGCTTTGTCCAAAAACTTTATACAAGTTAATCAAGAATTGAGAACAAATGAGAGACATACCCTCATATCACTTGGGGTGATGAATCCTCTCTTGACCACTCATTCACCTTCACATGCTTCATAGCATACCCAAAAACACTCTGTTTAGGCATTTGGTCACTTCTAAACCGGTAGGGGTAAAATCAAAGCATGTCATTTTCCATACAAGATGACCTAGTGTCTCAAGTCTAAGGACTAGTTGCACGACTATCACATGAGAATATTTTTCATAGACACTTGAGTGAAATACTAAATGGAGTTCTCATAGCGGGTCATGTTTAGTGAACTTGTTCTTTATCAAGCACCTACATGTTATCCTTAAGTATCTCATATATTTCAATCCATGAGATCGATTGCTTACTTTTTAAGTAAAAAGGATTAACATGTACCAATTTTTGAGCATTGTTAATGCCCTGTCTTAACAATACAATGACCATGAATAATTTTAAGAACATGGCTTTCATGCATGGTGATAACATAATAGTAACAATTTTATAATTCTCTTGCAATGCCTTTATATTCTATGGGCTTCATCCAATTAGTACTTAATAACTCTTTATTATTGCACTAACATGAAGGAAAACCTCTATAACATAAAATTATATGATTAAATATGCATAAAATTATAGTAAGTTTTTGTGGGTAGTTGTGAGGAAGATTTGGTGATTATACCTGCTTTTTGTGTCCAAGTATAGCCTTCAAACCATTGGGTCTATTCGGATGGTCTTTTGAAGAGGATTTTTCCATCCTCATTAGCTATGAAACTTCAATCTTTTTAAAAAAATGCATTAAATGACAATATATATTCCTCAACCAATATAATTGGCTCAAGGGCATATACCAATAAAACCCTGGACCACTTATTGTGCCCAGAAAACCTACATGAAACCCTCTACCCTTCAGAAATCAATGTCCCTCTTTTCCAAAATAAAGCAATTTTTAAGCAAAATATGGTGAAGCAATTTACTATGACATGCGTCACAAAGATATAATAAACATTTCTTAAATATAAAATACAAAAAAGTTGTTAAAATGATTTAATAGATCTGTTTTTTTAAACATAAGTATACAAGCATCAAGACTTTTTCGCACTATTGGAATTTTTTAAGCCATCAATATTTTTAGTATATTGTTTGTATTAAAGAAAAAAAAATGAAAAACAGGGGACATAATAGGCACAAATAAAAGATTAAACATTTATATATTAATATTAAACATTCATTTGACATGCATATTATAAAAACTAATAGCCAAAAACAATAACAAGCATAAATGACAAGAAAAATATGTTGTCAATAAAAAGGAAAGTTAATGAAAATACTTTACAGTTTTTTATTGGTAAGCTATTAAAAAATTGTATGCAAATTATTTTAAGTCATAGAATGGTAAAAAATATATATAATATGAACAAAGCATAGACA